TGGGTGTTATGCACAAACAATGAATCATGGAACACTACATCAAAAACTAATGATGTAATGTATGGTGATTAACATAACAAAAAAAAATAAAAAAAAACTTATTTGCACCAAGGGTTATCAGACACTTCTACAATGCCATTAAATATTGTAATATAATATCTGCTTTGGTTAATCCTTTAAAATACTATGAGTGGTCTAATTCTTGAAGACCCAATATTGCTTCATTAAAGATTTTTTTTATAGCCCTGGTCAGCTTGGAGAAAATACAAAAGACAAAGGAAAATAAAGACGCCAATCCCAGTCTACTTTCTCCATTTTATCTTTCCATAAGCATAAATGTCACCTAAATATATCCTTACAACAAAGAAGAAAGTCACAATTGTGCAACTAACAAAGGGAAAAGGGAGTTCTTTTTGAAATTTTTTCTTGATGATTCTAAATATCTGTTTATGCTGCTGTTAAAGCCATTATCATTTTCCCAAAGTTTTGCTGAATAGATGAGATAGGGTTGTATTCCATACTGATCTTTATTGCAACACTGTTACACTACATGATGTAACTCTCCAATGGAAATGTTTTCAGTAAAACTGTCAAGTGACATCTAATTTAAAATATAGTATGAGGCGACCACAAAGAAGAAATTTTAAGGAAAGTCAAAAGCAGAAAGGGCTCCTTGTTTTCCTTCAATTCACTTAAAAGGCCAGCATTAGAACAAGTACCCACATGGAGGATGAGTAACAGTGACTGAGATGTTTATGAAGTAAGTATTTTATAAACTCCAGAATAACAACACTCTGGCAGACAGAAAGTTGGCACATTCCACCTGGTGCTTAATATCAGAAAATTATAAAGCTCACATAAATATACCCTTATTCACTGTTTGTGACCATGGTAAGTCCTATGTCTGATACTTCTGGCCAACATAGCCTCCTCCAGTAGTTGAGAACCTGAGGAGAACTTTTTATGGCATCTTTAGCCTCCTTAAGATGTTTCTTACCCAGGATTAATTTATAGCAATTATGAATATGTAATTAATATGTAAAGCTGTTCCAAGGTATCTTCAGGTAGATCATTTTTTGCAGAAATGTTATTGTATTCAACGTCACTGAATCACATAGTATTAATTGAGGGGCCACTATGGTGCAGTATACTCTGTGCTTTGGTAGAAAAACAGCACCTCATCTTTGCCTTCAGGGAAATTACAGTTGAATTGTGTTGACTATATTAATCCACAAAAAATAATTAGAAAACCATATAGGATAGGACATAGTTATGTGCTTATTGGTGTAGTAAGAGTAGCCAGTATTCACCAGAAAGAGATCAACTAGAATAAAATAACAGAATGTGATTAAAGATTTTGTCTAAACCCTTCCTTTGAGATGCTGTGAATTAAGGAAGTGGGATTTGAATTAGACCTTAAAAAATGAGTAGACTGAAAAAAATGTGAAATTAGAAGAGATTTAACTGAATTAATTTATCTCACTTTTCCCAGTTTTGTATGAAGACATACACATAACCCATTCAATTTTGCTTTGTCAAATAATCCATAAATACATAAAGTATATGTGATTAACAATGCTTTTAATGCCAAAAGACAGCTTATTTTCTTAATCCAAAGCTCACTTTATGTAATTATTCTTTTTGCAAACTAGTAGTTGGTTATAACACTTGAGTAATCTTGACAAGAAGTTGCTTTAAGCAGTTAAAGATCCAGATGCTGATCAGCATGCATTAAGTGATTCAGCTTAATTGCTTCCATCTAGATAAATTACTTACCTCAGTTCCTATCACAATTTCTTCTCTGGTAGAGTAGAATAGAAACTCATATAGCTTGTAGTGTTGAAATAAGCTGAAATACAAAATAAATGTGCAACTCTGATAAGTTTATTTTAGGAAAGAAAACGAATATGTAAGAGTATTTATTAAAGGAAAGTTGTTCATAGTGACCAAGGGAAAGACATTAAACACTAATATAGAGTTAGCTACATCTTTTATTCCAAATGAATTGTCCAGAAATGGTGAGAAACTAATGATTTACTTTTTTGAGACATTGACAGTATAACACAGTACCTAATATAAGATCGGTAAATTAATCTGTGATGAGTGGATAGGTTTGGGGTAAGGGAGCAATTAGATTGCATCTTGACTTGTTTTGGTTGACAATAAAGTAATGCACTGCCCCTCAATAACACCAAATTTCACATTATTTTTCATGTTTTGCTTCAAACTGGAGTCAATTTCCCCTGGAATGAATGGCACCGAATTCTATAATCTACTTCCATATCAATTACTTCTCATGTTCTCAAACTGTTTCAAGATTAAATTAATCTCTGATAACACCTGAAAATGATGCAACATGAACTGAAATCCATTTAGAAGTTGTCTGGTTTTCTTGTAGAACATTTGATCACATGTCAAAGAGAGGAATTAATTTAAGAAAGATAATTTCTTCAGTTTCTACCCAAAGACTAGGTGGTCAGTGTATAAAAACTGTGATGAGCTATAGGATAGGAGTCTTAAAATAGGTTTTTCTAGTAAGTTTAAAGATCTCAGCAATGTATTATTGAGAGTTAAAAATTTACTGAAGGGCTGATTTCTAATATTCTGTTTGTGATAATACTTGAATTTTTCTAATTCTCTTCCTGCTGGTTGGGAAAATTAATAGACTCATAATACAGCAAAATGCCCAAGAACAAAAAAATTGTCTTAGTGGTTTCTCTTTCACTCTGGTGCCTTTTGCTATTTAAGAAAATTGATTTTAATATAACTGAGAAATTAACATTTGCAAAATGTAGCTACAGAGCATGTATAATAATGGCTTCTCCGGAATGCTGTAATGGATCAAAGTTTCAATTCATTTGAAATCAGTGAAGAAATCCTCAGGCAGATGGGTCTCTCTGAGGTATATCAGCAGTTGATTTCACTACTAACACAGTCCATTAAAAAGTGATGGGTATGCAGACTCAGTCATGTTTTTTGTTTTGTTTTTTTTTTTTGAAAAAAAAAAAAAAACCTCATGTATTCAAATTACTCATCAACACTCAGAAAACTAACTTAGCTTTTGACATTACTTTGATTTATTGGCTAGAAAATACATCAAGATTCGTGAAGTTTGATGATTCAATGAAGCAAAAGAAATTCAAGTTCTCCTTCCCTTACATTGCTTACCTAGAGAAAGCTTTAAGGTTAAAAATATTACACTGACAATAACTGATTTTGAGTAGAAAAATTAAAGACTGTAGAGTATTTGGAAATAACTTGGCTTCCTCTCAGTGAATTCGTGTAAAATTTTCCTTCCATCTCATGTTACACAAAGAAGTTAATTCATAAATCTTCCTTCCTGCAATTTTATAATCTTTCAGCCTTATTCTCCTCATTACATATAGGAATTAGATTGTCTCATGCCAAAAGGGAAATTCCCTTCTTATAATGAAAATAAAATTCATGACTTGGATGCAGTGGTCAAAGATGCAAGTTGGGGCAAGGCCAGGACTAGGGTAAAACAGATGAGGGGAGGGGGACACCTAAGGAGGAAGCACTTTTCAGGGCCAGGTCAATTTGCCTCCATTGCCTCACTCTGGTCCCCATATTGGTTGAGGTTCTCTAACTTTACCAAAGAACTATTAGATGACTTCCTGTGGGAACAAAGTGACACCTCTGCTATGGGAATACATTTCCTCCTTCTTCCTTTGCTAGGAAGACTTCCAGCTGACTCAAGCCTCTAGACTATTTTGTCAAACAACTTGTCTTAGTTCTAAATCAAAGGGAGAAATAAAGTGGGTCAAGACATCTGGGCTCCATTCCAGGAAGTAAGATACCCTGTTGTGCAAAGAGGGAAAGTTTTGATTTTCTTATATTGAGTAAATACCTGTGCACATTACCTTCACCTAATTCCCAAGGAAGAGGTAGAATACACAATGACAGAAATGTATGTGGACCAGATATATCTAAATGATGTCTTATATTGAAAAGCTGCAGTAGCATTTATATTTGTATATATAACATAAAATATATCAATGTATATATTGCATGAGTAAATTGGTCAGTACTTACAGCAATGTTAGAGAGGAATTTTGATATTAGTTTTTTTTTCAAATCACAGACACATGATGGAATATACAATTTAGATTCTATGAACAGTATCAAGTAAAATTTTAATTTTATTGCCAGTTAAGTTTCATGTGCTATAGGTCATATTCTAAAAACTACTCTCCCTAAATTGATGAGGGCTTTCACTGGTTGAGTAAATTTAATATCAGATTAAATTGAAACATGCTTATACTTTCAATAATTGAGTTAGCTTCATATTTATAAAACTTCTTTGTAGTCATTAAAATGAAAAATATTATATGATTTAATTGTCATTAAATTTATATTTGTGGACCTATGAGTCATTCTAAATAGGAATTGTAGAAAAGGACATTTTTCTTTACACAATTTCAATATCAATTCTAGATATCATACTAGCTGATATTTTATTTTCTGTAACAGATGCATTTAAAATGTACAATATCTTTGAAATCACAATATGAAGATTTAATGCATCAAAAATAGTTCTTATTTACTTTACATGGGAGATTAGTAATCTTTCAAATATTACTTTTTTGTTGTTGTTTTTAGAAATGAGACTAGAAATTTTTGGTAAGTAAAGTTACCCAGGTAAGCGTTTAATGGTGGCTAACACTGACATCCCTTCCTAACTTAATCATTTTCTGAAATGAAATGTCAAGAAATTCACTGATGAGTGTTTGTCCAGAGAGACAAGACAAAGGAGAAAAGTGCCATCTTTCACCACCTAGAAGGTGTGATTAGGGTGCCTGCATGGGTTTAGCTGTTATGGTTAACTATCAGTCCTGGTGCCCATTATAAACCTCCAGGGCTTAGAGCTCAAATGTAATGTGTTCTTCAAAGAGAGACCTGGTGGTCTCAAATAGATAAAGGAGGGAAAGAAGGATGCTATACAAATGTGCAGAGATTTCCTCTCACCCAGTGATTCTGATGGGCAGAAAGACCTCGGGGAATAGGTTCTCCAATTCTGGATTTCCACTCCCTTCCTTCCTCCCACACAAGGACCTTGCTTCATTCTAATTGATATGAAGAGTACTGTAGCTTTTAGTGAGAGACACACATTAGGAGGTATATGTTTTATATTAAGAAATCAAATTATATCAAGTGCTATCATATAAAAACATATTATATCATATACTATTATTAATTCATGCCAGAAACCAGTATATAAGCATTATCAAATTAAACATGTTAATATTTAAAAAGCTTCCAGACTACAGCCAGGATCCTTGCCAAGCAAATCATGAGAATGTCTAGGACATCATGCAGCACCCTTTATTTTGGAATTTTAAAACAAAATTGGAAAACACTGCAGTATATAGTAATGGAGGAAAAAAAGGTATTCTCCAGAAGCTTTTAGTTAGGCAAAAAAATATTTTTACCAACTCTTGTTTAAATATTTGCTAATTCTAAAAATGTCCCTTGGGAGAAATGAATGCCCTAATGCAGACCTTGTGACAGATTATATAAAAAGACAGATTTCTTAGTTCACCCATGAAGAATCACTGTAATAAAAATACTTTCCCTCCATTCACCATCATTTTCTAAGCATAAAGAAAAACTTAATGAGTTTAATTGATCAATACTACAAAATATTTCAGGGCACAGAATAGACTTGAGGAAGCTTGCACATAAATCTCTTTAATTTCTAATACAAAACATTTAAAATAAATCTTTAAATGGAAATGAATGTTATTCTAAAATGTAAAATTTTGATTTCAAGGCCAACTACTAAAATATATAGTCTATTGTAATCAAGTCGGATTAATCTGAAAGAATAATTTTGTTAATAAAATGATATTAATTACAGATTCAGAGAAAAAAGAAATTTTTGGATAATTTATTATAATTCTAGATGAAATTGTTCTTATTAAACACAAACCTTTTTTTAAGAATGGAAGGTTAGCCAAAAACTCAATGTCCTGAATTTTATTTATTGTATGAAAAATTTTAATATTATCTCATTGGCTGAGTTAATTACAGCATAAATTCTGTAAATGTCTAAAATTTGAATTCATTTCTATTTAATGGACATTTTGTAAAAGATAATGAAATGAAAACATAAATGCTACTGAAAAAAATCCATACCTGATTTTTAAGTAATCGATGACAGCATTGGCTTGTTTTATATTAAAGACATTCCATTCCTCATTTTTCTGTGAATGGGATGGTCCTATTTCAGCCATAACTTCTCCAAGCCATTTTATGCTGTCTTCCAAGGACATATGCAGTGCTAAAATAAGATCCAGAGAAGTCTTAAGCATTATTTTGATAGATGTTTGATCTATCAAACATAAGGACAATCCAAGATGTCCTTAATGTGCAAATATTTACTTTTTCAATATTTGTGAGGACAATGGTAATAGCAATGTTTTTTAATGATAAGTTAATAATTACATTTTGTGTAAAAGAATAGCAGCTGACACACCCAACAATTGTAAATTACTGTAACGCTACACAATTGTCTAAAGATTTTGTTTCCATTTTAAGATGCAAAGATAATTTAAAATCTACCTAAAAATTACTTTAAAATGGAAAATACACTTTTTAATGATCTTAGAACAAGAGCATATATGGAAATGACACAAAAGTTGTTTGGATTAGCTGGTGAGGAAGACCTACATGGTAGATTCAGTTACTGTAGACAGGAGAGTTGAACTCAGAACTGAAAATGTAAAAGAACACAGTCAACCAACACTTGGCTTTGGCTGATTGTTAACATGTGGGAATTTGGGACTGAAGATTTTCAATAGATGCCAGGAGTATGTATTTTTATGTAAAACATCAAGATATTTTTTTCTTTTCCAAGCTACAGACTTATAACTTATGTAAGCTGTTTCTCAAACGTATGCGTGGTGGTGGTGGTGAGAGCCAGATGACAGCGCCGAGTGACGCTGACACCACTTTGCCACCATTACCAAAAATAAACAAGTCAATGATTGTGGTCTCTTTTCTTGCAACTAAAAACAAACAAAAAAGCAAAAGTATCTTGCATGGCATATGTCCAGTTGAAAAAAAGTAGATAAATGTCAAGAGCCTTAGACTTAACATTTATAGCATCTATAATACAAACAGGAACTTCCATCTTCTTTTTCTATTTAATTATGCTCATTTTTACTTGTGTCAGGCAAAATATTACATCACACACACACACGCACGCACACTGACAGGTGACGAGTGTAGAGGTAAAACTGAGGAGTCTGGAGGTGGAGAGCTGAAAGTCTCTAGCAAAGATGAGGTTGCACCAGCTTCTTGGAGGAGGTGTCAGCTTGGGGCCTGGAGGAAGGCTCTGGGGAACACCGTGCTGTTCCATGTGAGCCCCACCTGCCCAGTCAGTCCCAATCAAACCTCTATCTCTCCCAGGAAACCATCAGTAAACTTTCCACTTCTTGCTAATGGAGCGAATTTTTCAGGGCAGCAAGAGGGGGTAATGCACAGGATTTATGAGAACATAAGCTGATTGTTGGACAGAGCTTCCAGTTACACAGCTACTCTTTCATTCTGGGATGTGTTATGACCCCAGATTACTGATAAAATGACAGTAAAGCAATTAAAAATTTTAGGAAGACACTATAAACACTAATTTGCAATTTGTTTCTTCTAGATTCTTTTCTATCTGCAGGAATTAGAATGAAGCAAACTATGTAACAATTAAAAACTGGTTTAATGGAGGGCAATTGGTCCCTTTTTCATAGCTTCCCTCCCGATCGTCTTTTATATATGTCAGATACACGAATTATTGCTGGATAACTGGGCTTTCCTATATCATTCTAAGGGGGGCTCAATTATTATTGTATATTTCTTTTCCTATGATAAACTTCTTTTGAAACATTCTTGGGATAATTCCAGAAATGAAATATCTGTTGGATAAAAGCAATTCAAAATCAAATGGGGTGGGAGGGATGGGGTGGCTGGGTGATAGACATTGGGGAGGATATGTGCTATGGTGAGCGCTGTGAATTGTGCAAGACT